TCAAGTATTTACCTGGATAATACAACAAAGTGGGGTTGTGTTCACACCTGAAACCAATAAGGTTGACGCGAGCGAAAAAACCTGGGAGTATCTTATTCGAGTAAGTGTTTAGATTTATTATTTTTTTAATTTTATAAATTGATTGTTGCTTCTTATTAACACAAATATTTATAAATATATTTTTTCATTTATTCAAGTTAATTTTATCTACAATGTTGTTTCATTTAATATTGTAGAAACAAAAGCTATTGATGACATACATGGAGGAGGGCGAGTACATTCTCCATGAGCTGGACTATTTGTTTGGATATGGTAACATGAACGCACGTGGGCAAGCTAGACAAGTGATTAATATTTCTGACGAAGAAGATGAAGGAGGCAATGACGGTGAAGACGAAGGAGACAATGACGAAGACGGTAATCCCTATTTGGGTATTGAAAACGAACCTGACAATACAAATAATTGTTTTCACTACGAACTTGCGTGGTACAATGCCGACTCCACAAGTGTTTCGTCTGTTGCCGACCCGGAAAAACCACCGACCACCCTAGCTTCCACTTCTGTTGTTATGAGCAAGTTCGACAACCACTGGGCGTCACACGATTGGGACAAGCACAATGACAACATTTATGATATTCCAAACAGTTCTACTGCATCTTCGTCGTCTCCTTACAAAAAATAGGAGATGACCCATTTTTAAAAAAAAAAAAACGGCAATGTATTAAGTAGGTGGGTGTGTTTATGTAGGCTTATCTCATGGAGCCTTTTGCTTTTATTTATCGTTTCCTCCAATAAGCTACCATGGCCAACGGTTCATGCCTTGTCAGAATTCGAAGGATGGTAGGAGTTGATGTAGGTTTAACAATTCTGGGTTTTTTATTTTATTTATCATGTATGACTATGTTCGTCTCTTTTGAATGAAAAATTATAGTCGTTTTAACCAATGCCGAGTTTTAAACACGCTTTTATTGTGTGTCTTTATTTTATAGCCATAAAATAAGTAGTTACTTAGGAAGAGATTTGCTGCAATTTTTACTTCTGTAATTGTAGTTTTAATTCGATTATCTTTGTAGCTGTTGCTGAGTTGCTGGAGTTTACTTCTGTAATTGTAGTTTTAATTCGATTATCTTTGTAGTTGTTGCTGAGTTGCTGGAGTTGTTTGGTTATGACGTAACCTCAGTGGTAGTGACCTAACATGGTTGTTATGTATGATGCTTAACATGGAAACACTAAACTAAAACCCATTAGTTGAACCTTAAAATCTGGAAACACTAACAAACAGAATACTTGAAACCTTAACATAACATTCCCACAACACATCGTTCACATCGTTCATACATGTTTCATTCCAAAAGACAAACCATTTTACGGAGTCCCAGCTCTAACAAAACAAAACCAAGTGCAGGGACAACAATTCATTCATAAATTAGCAACGTTCACCAACTTCTATTTCTTACAGTACAATAAAGTTTAACCCTAAACAAACCAAATACGAACTTGATAATATTGAAATAGAATAACCATGGCTCGCTATATACTTCCGGCCAACTTCATTCGCACAAATTCAACTCGAGCAGCATTGTCGAGGCTGAAGAACAAATCTAGCTCGTCGATATTCTTTACTAAAATTTTGGAGATTAGCAACTGCTCTTGTAGGTTCAAACCTTCAATTTCCCTTACAATGGAATAAACATCCTTACGAGCACTTGAAACATCATATTCGTAGCCTATCCTTTGCGCAATCTTTTCCAAACGAGCACCCGTTTTTTCAGCAAAACTTTTCATAACTTCACAAAGAGGATCAGAACTCTGACCTGACTTTCGTTTACGCCCTACGCTTTTTTTCGTCCCTGTTGAAGATGGTTGGGTGCTCTCCGACATTGTCTCGTTGACCTCTTCTTTCATGTTCACATTGTTCATTTCTATATGTTCAGACAAAGTACGTGAAGGGCCTGATAGATTCACATTGCTAGCTGCATCAAATAGGTCTTCAGCTTGGTGGCCCGTCGCTCTGTCCTTTCTGAAAATCTCGATCCAATCATAGTAGTATGGCCAAGATTTGTGACGCATGGAACGAGCATTAACATCAACTGATGATGAACAAATCACAAATTAAATATCACAGTTGTACCATTTTCTAGAACAAAGACAAAACAATGTTGGAATCTGAAAAACATACCTTCAAACACTCCGACCACGCTTCGCCAGTACATTCAACCATCATGGTTGATTCGTTCCATCCAACACCACTTCGTGATAGAATAGTACACAAACTACCATAATCTTTCTTCCACACATGTATTTTCGAGTTGATATGGGGCATACCTCGCAAATCGGTACCCGGTAACTGTTTCACCAATTCCTGCTCAAGGATGTTAAGAAACCCCATCTTGAACCCATTTTCAGATTTCCAACCAGTATTCCTTTGAGGGCAGCAATAAGAACTTCCTCCTCTTGCCGACTCCAACTCCTTCGACCTTTGTCAGCTCGTGGTTTTCTTAGTTTGGGAATCATTGTGGAAGTAGAGTTCATCATCACTGTATAATTACAAAAATCACAACAAAATAATAGATACAATATCAAATCAACAAGATAGTGCATTCACTATAGATACATAGAAATAACTGTAATGATCAAACAAGTTACAAAATTTAGAAGACGAAAATATAAAGGCAAACAACACAAACAATTAAGTTTTCATTACATATCAAACCGAAATGAGTTCATCTTTCTTACAATTTGAATTCAGTAAAAAAGATTACATATCCACTCAATTAATACACCTCCACTCATTAAACATTGACGTAGCCAATGTGTCTCTCCATTCAGACCATTGATCAGAGGTCTCGACACAGTCAATATATGACAAGTCATCATCACCATCTTCGTTTTGTTCATCTTCTCCGATCATCATTTCTATGGGATCCACCGGAAGCTCACGTCGAATGAAGTTATGCAGTAGCACACAAGCCATAATTAGTCTATTTTGAGTTCTTATATCATAAAACGTTGGACTATGTAAGATTGCCCATCTTTTTTTCAAAATACCAAATGATCTCTCGACCACGTTTTTAGCTTTCGAATGGGACATGTTGAAAAATTCGTAAGGGCTCTGAGGTGTAAGCCTTCCTTCCCCCCAATCTTTCAAATGATATCTCACTCCCTTGTATGGACACAAAAAACCGTCACCATTTGTGTAGCCATTATCACATAAGTAATAGTTACCTACAAAAGACAGGATTTAATTTGTTGTTTACTTTTTAACTATAAAAACCTATGAAATGTTTAACAATTAATTTAAATGGACAATCCTTTTCCTTCATTACCTCTAGGGACTTTCAAGCCATTAGGTTTATTTATTGCATCCTTAAGAACGCGACAATCGGCTGCAGAACCTTCCCATCCACACAATACATAGACAAAATTTAGGTTACGATCAACAACTCCTAGCACATTCACAGCAACTTCTCCCTTTCTGGTGCGGTACCTTGGTTTATCAACTTCTGGTACTGTCACTTTTATGTGAGTTCCGTCTAAGGCGCCTAGACAACCCTATTTTCAAATTGGCATTCACTTTTCTTATTGTTAACAACCATTAAAATATCTTTTACCACGATTTGATATGTAATAAGATTTAACATGGAAAAATACCTTGAACCATTTCCATCTGTGGTTATTGTTGTTTGAATCATCAATCGGCTCAGGTTTCACTAGGAGGGTAGAATGAAGACGCAAAATCGCCGCAAGGACCTCATTTACGTAAATGCTTACAGTTTGACTAGACCTCTTAAAGTCAAATTTAACAACCTTCATCTTTTTATGATGAGCGATTATAGAAAGAAAGAGAGCAACCTTCTCCGTAACTGTTACATATTTGGAATCAGATAGACCACTATTTGTACGGAGAAGGTAACATAACCTAGCGAAGGCTCCCTTATTCATCCTCAAATTTTCCATACAGTCTAACTCATTCAAGGCCACCAAATTGTTCAAATGTTCTACTTGTCTAGGAATCCTATTCGCCATCACATATTTAATTCGTTTTGTATATTCTCTAGATGATTTACAACTTTGTTCCCGTCTTAATGCTACCACCATATTAATGAAGAATGTACATTCATTAATGATTTCCTCCAAAACAAGATAAAGTTCAGCCTTTCTCTTGTTAATCTCAGCCATTAAATGGTATACCTTTGATGAGGTTTATGTAATAGCTGTTGTAAAATTTGTACAACAAAAATTATGTGTCATGCATCATTCTTGTCTATATAGTTCAGAACATACTTCACACAAAAATATAATTTTAAATCAAAGCCTTCTAATTTCAAAATAGATTCAAATATTAGCTCATTTCTCCCATCACATGGAGCAAATGCAAATAAATATAGAATTATGTAATATGAAATTGAAATCTACAAATAAGAAAGGAAACAAAGCATTGAAACAAAAAATTGACAGAAAACATGTTATCTACTAATTTCAAATCAGCAATGCACCTTCCTCATTTTTGTAAAAAAATACAGATATGCTATTCAAAGCAATAGAACAAACACCATTGTTCATGAAGAGTGTTCTCTGCTAAATATGAGACACGAAATGAATTTCAAAGCTCCATTGAGAGATGAACACGACCGAAATATTTGCAGACTCTAATGCAAGTGATTCTTAGCTCGTAATCGAAAATAGTAAATGCTTTGAAGTAAATAGAGTTGACAGAACACAGGTCCTATACATCCATGACTACATTTGGGTGAAAAGGTTTAAAGGTTTTCCAAAAAGTTCATGTCAAAGTCAAAAAATGTTATTTTCAACAGAAACTCTATAAACAAACCAAATCAGTTCTAGTCAACCATGAACATAAAAAACCACTTCAAAAGCCCAAATGAATGCAAAACCAAATAAATTTTCTTCATAGGATACCACTCACACAGTCACAAACACATATACACATATAAAACTAGATATAAGCATTCAACACCAAAAAAAAATCAATCTGCATAACAATCAGATAGCATATTTGCTATTGCAATCAATGAAGAAAAAACAACAATGCACATTTGCCATTCTTCTATAACAATGACAAAGGTAAATATGCTATCTCACACAATGAAACAAACCCAACAAGCAATTGATTTCACTTTTCTGGTCCGCTGAAGAAATTTAGATCGGAGCCAACAATACAAACAATGGACCGAACAAAGCAAATGTAGGTGCAGAAGGTCAGGCTGTTACCTTAAGCAAGACCGAAATCCACCCTATTAGCGACGAACGTCCAGTCCGCAACAACACAAAACAATAGCGAAAATACGACGACGAGAAAACAAATTACAACGCAAAAGATTAGATCCGTGGAAAAAAATGAGCTCTGTTGATGATTGAAGGAAGAATATCCCGTACCTTTTGAGATTCGTCTCTAGTCGGAAGCGATGCAAGAAGGACCGTGGAAACCCTAGGTTTTCTGCGAGAGAGCAATAATGAAGTCAAGAGATCCGATTTTAGTATTTATATAGATGGCATTTTGGTAAAAAAAAAAAAGAGAAACTTAATATTGGGATAAAGTATCAGGCATTAGGGGTGGGATCACTAGTCCAACACTTTGTTTATAATGTTGCCGGGCACAAGCAATATAAAGGGCTTTCCAATGCCCAAGCAAACAGCTTAATCGTATTGAAATAATAAGAAGATGCTTGATATCAAGCCCAATATGCCCAACCAAACTGACCCATATGTATAAGAGAGTAGTTAATAATTCATGCGTTTGTTATTAAGAGAGGTCTCTCTCACTATAAAACACGACTATGAAGTATAATAATTAATATTTTTATTTTACAAATACAACATTCACATTTTAATATTATTTACTATGTGACTCAATTAACTTATGGTAATACTTAAAAATTATTTTCAACTTTGATTTCTTTATAAATGTGTCAAACTAGATTATCCGAGCCAAGTATTTCGTATTTAAAATCGTGCTCAGATAATAAATGAGTCGTCGTGACTCAACTCGTTTGACAAATAAACAAAAATGTAAACTCGAGTTTGGCTCGTTTGAACTTGGTTTGACTCATTTTATATACTTTGAAACCTAGCTAGACCAAACTCCAAAACTTTAACCGATTTGATCGCGAACATGTTTAACTATAGACTTGTTTGATAGAAATGTTTGATAAGTTGTTTAAATTTTGTTCAATTAAATATATAAGTGAGTGGAGCTCGAGCTTCACAAGTCAAATCTAAGTTAACATCACAACTCAATTCGAAAAATATCTGCATGTTTTACCTCCCCGGTGAAAACACAAAAAATAAATAAATTAATTAAAATAAAAATCTTAATTACACCCCTAGGCCTACACCAGATGCTAAAACACGTTGAATTTAACGTACGACTTTCCTGTATTCAATTCAATAATTATAAAAGCTTACGCCATAGAAAATATTCCTATAAACAGCAAAATAAAAAACTCGACATAAAAAGTAAAATAGATTTATATAATCAAAATATCAATTGGAAAGTAGAACTTGATGCCTTTTGACCATTATCGCATTAATTTCCCAAAGAATTTTCATCCTGAAAATAGAAGCAATTAATAGAATATAAAGATTACGCATCCACATGGTTATTCGTGGCTCAAATAATCTATTATGAACATGACCAATTATTTAAATCGGTTTTGCTACGAAACCAACATTCTATATACAACAAATAAATTTACTATATTATCTGATTATTTAAATAATATTAATATAATTCTATTAATATGGTATGTTTATTTATTGTATATAGAAGATTTACTCCACTATGGAACCAACGGTTGGCTTCATAGCAAAACCGTAATTAAAATTTTATCTTGGTTCAATATTCTTCCAATATAACCATGTATTGGAGTTGACGCCTATTAATTAAGTGACCTGAAACAGTGGAGCCGGCAACTGAACCGAAGCCTCGGATCGGAGAACGGCGATTGTAACGATATAACGGTTGCAAGGTGATGAAATAAAAACACACGACTTATTGAGTCATCTACAATTATATATATATATAATTGAGTCAGAAAAACTGTTACTTACCATAAATATATCTCTCTCTACATATATCTTGTTATCTTGTTAAATAGATTTTGTAACTTTTAATCCTTACAATCAGTTAAATATTCACTAATTTGTTGACCTTTAATTAGTCCTTTTAAGAATATAGTATGAATCAAATCGGGAAGTATTTTTATAGATTTCAGTAATGAGTTTTAAATATATATTTTTTTTAAAAAGGATTAATAACAAAATATATTAAAAAACTAAAAAATAACAAACAAGTTAAAAAAAGAATAAATTTCAATACATAAAATACAAATATTAAAAAATTTCATTTTAGTAATATACGTAAATATCATACATTAACGCAAGTAAAAAAAATTCTCCCTCGTTTCTTCACTTACTTAAAATAAAGCAATTCTCAGTCTAAGTGTAATCATATTTTTGTAAAATTATTATTTTTTATAATAATATTACTAATACGAACTAACTATATACATAAAACTATTATAAATATAGTGATTCACATGTAAGTTTTACATTTTATATTTGTATAATTCATTTTTATTAATTGTCGAGATTTTAAAATGTGATATACTCATCATCTAATTTATAGTTTTAAATATTATGTACATACATATAATAATATATAATATTTTATATTTGTGTATATATATGTATATATCAACTACGTGTAGTAACACTATCCTATAATAAATAATTAAATACTATTAGAGCATGTATAAATACATTAATTATGGTTCCATAGAAATTTGGTATGGTCCTGATTTATTTATATTTAAATATTAGGATTGAATTCTATATTATGTGGCTGGCCTCTATAAGTCCATCGATTGCACCAAAGTTTGTGTACGAGTGATT